ATGTTGTCCATGGGATCACAATGGGTTGGACACAACTTCGCAACTAATAACAATAAAGGATATTAATGCTAGATCTTTTCAATACTAGCTTGGAATTCTAAACACAACATTGTGTTTTGTAATGCAAAGTCTGACAGGCAGCAAACCTCAAAAGATTGTTTAGATTTGGAACCCAATGTGTAGACAAAGCAAGATTTATATTCAAAAACAGTCAGAATTTTCTTTGGAAGGCTGAAACAAAAAAATCCTTATAGAATCCCTTGCTAACTTTGCTATGCTTGCTGTTGCCAAATACAATACAGCCTCCATCTCTATCCCTAGCAGCACATCCATCCAGTTTTTCAGGCAGGGTGGCTCCAAGTATTATTTGGCTATGTTCTGCCTTTAGTGAAGCTTAAGAATATTTTTCTATGGATTTAATTATACAAGGTAAACGGAAGTTGCTTATGGCAACCATTCTGCCTGGCAGAGATGGCCTTTGATCAGCAAGTGCAGGATGTGCATTGTTAATGGGTGAAAGATAAGATTGTCTGATCTGGCAGGTGTTCAAGCGAAAGGCAACTGCTCAGGTACATTCCAGATAAGTGAAGTACTATCAAGTGTCATAAAGCAAGCAAATTATAGCTATCGATTATATTCTCAGGTTAAGACATTAACGTACCCAAACTATGCACTTTCCCTTCTTGAGATACAACTGTCTTCTGGTTGCCACCTTTCTTTCTCAACTTGAGCACTTGCCTGCTTTTACTCCTTGCTTATTCTCAGCAACAGCCTAGCTACTTAGAGAATCCTAGGAGTTAAAAACCATACATTCTCAGGATGCTTATCTGAGCTGGATATTCCAGAGATCATAATCATAACATATCTAAAAGATACATTGGGGAAAAGTGGTATTTGTAAACATGGAATAACAGAATCAGCCATTCAGTCCCCTCTGTTAATATAAACAGATGTATTCTACTGTTTACAAGTAGTAGTATATCACATACCTTCCAATCAAATTGACTTCCAATGTGTAGTAGATCAACTGTTACAAATGATAGCTTGCTGAATCAGTTGAAACCCACTTAGCCAACAGATGATAACCTGGAGCGCAATGAGACCAGTATGTCCACTTGGCTTCCTTCATAATTCCTGCCCCATCAACATTTTAAAATTTAGTTATGTTACAAAAGAAAGCATCAGCCTTTTGCATTATATTCATTTCCAGCAATGCTCTTGGACATCATAAAGACCCTACCATTCATGAATAAGCACCCTGAATGGTTGAGAAATAAGTACCTTGCTTTCTATTTTATGACAGTTTCATGATTTGCTATCTCCATTAAAGTAGAGGTAGTCCTTAACACACAACCATTTAATTAGCAACTATGAAGTTACAATGACACAGTGACTTATGATTGTCATACTTATGACTGTCACAGCATCCCCACAGACAACTTATCAAAATTTGGGCACTTGGCAACTAGCAAGTATTTACAATCCCAGGGTCATTGATCACCATTTGTGATCTTCCCAGCAGGCTTCTGACAAACAAAGTTAAAGGGAGTAAGGTGGATTCATTTAACAACCATGTGGTTTACTTAACAACTGCAGTGATCTGCTTAACTGTGGCAAAAAAGGCTGTAAAATTAGATGTGATTCACTTAACCACCTTGCTTATCCACAGAAATTCTGATCTCACTTGTGGTTATAAGTAGAGGACTATAGTCAAATTGAAAGTAAGTCCTGCATATGTTCTCAAAATTCCAAATGTCATATTTTTTTCATTTTTGCCTTTTTATTAGTTTACAATATAAAATACAAAAATACAAACGCAAATAATAGGAAAAATAGGGGAGGAAAAAAAGAAGAGAAAAAATGTAGGGAAGAAGGAAAAAAAGAAAGAAAAAGCATTGATTTCCGACTCCCTTCATTGCAATAAAATAAGAAGTAACATCAAACCTTAAGTTTTTACTTTTTATGTGCTTTTAGCCCAAAAGGCTGATGATCCCTGCACAGAAGGCAACGTTCAAAGTTAGAACAAGTAGGTGAAACTAAAGAAAGGGAAGAAATGTTGCGATTGTTTTTTTAGCAACATCCTTGGCCCTTAAATTAAGGACAGTTGTTATTTGGAAATTTGAATAGTTGTTGGCATTTCTCTGCTGCAGTTCTAGAAGATTATTTAATTGAAATCCAGATATACTATTGCCATAATTGTCAAAACACATAAAATATACAGAACATGCTTTCTGGAATTCTTTCCAACCTCGTTGCCAGCAGTGATTATACATACGGCATATTTATCTATACATGTGCTTTGCTCTTGGTAAAGAGGCTGGAAGGATAAAAGAATCTGAATTTAGAAAGCATAGTTATCAAAATTCCAATATGGTATCTAATTATCTCTCCCATAAGGATATATTTTGGGTTTTTCTCCACATCCCCATATCTGATCCACACCATTTTCAAATTTAATCCTTATTTTACCAACTATTCCAAGCACACTAAATCTGATCTAATTCCATTCAGTTTACAAAGAGTTATTCTGCTGATAGAGAAGAGTTCCCAGGCCCCTATACAGTAGATAATTTCTTTCCAACATCCCATGTGATTGACATAAAAAAACACCTTTACCAATTTTCAAAATAAAATAAAATAAAACAGTGACAGTAATCATGACAATAGAATCCGATATACTTTTGATAACCTATAAAAATAAAAATATTTTTATTTCTTTAAATTACTAACACAATAGATACACAATATCCTGTGAAGCTCAAGAAAGGTTTCAGTCCTAGATTCTGGTTCTATGCTGAAATTGGACTGTTTATTTTAGGTTCTACCAACCATAATATCCAGACTCTGGGACTGAAATGCAATTATTGTACTTAGTAACTGGCAACTTTCCACTGAGAATAATAGCACAGTCCATTGTAAGTGTCACTGTTCTGGAAAGATGAGAAAATATTGGACAGACTTCAGAAAGAAGGTACAAGCAATAAAGGGGATTGAAATAGCAAAGGGTATAAGAAAAACTAAAGCATGAACTAGGCCTAATTAAATTATGTAAAATTCAATATGAAATATGATTTTTACTTGTAAGTGAATAAATCTGTGATGATGTACCGTACCAATTCTTTCCTTCTATCTCTTAATTAGTTACACAGGTATAAAACACTACAGTCCAAATTCAACAATAATAAACTTTGAGGTCCGGTTCTGCCTTCCAAGAAGAGAGTTGGACCAAAAATAAATAAATAATGGGTGATTATATTGTCAGTTTTAATTAAATTTAAATTAAATTATTTAAATATAATGGTGTTTAAGCCTTCTGTCATATTAAAAACTAAAATTCAGTGGCAACATTAATATATGATCTGCTCAAAACTTGGAAGTAGATGACTGACTAACAAATACTTTAAACCAGTGTTTTTCAACCTTTTTTGTGCAAAGGCACACTTTGTTCATGAAAAAAATCACGAGGCACACCACCATTAGAAAATGTTAAAAAAATTTAACTCTGTGCCTATATTGACTATATATAAAGTGTTTTTCCCACGGCACACCTTACACTATGTCACGGCACACTAGTGTGCCGCGGCACAGTGGTTGAAAAACACTGCTTTAAACAAGTATTCAGTTTCTATGGATGTGAATAGGTTCCAACACAGAACAAAATGAACTTTTTACCTTTAACCGCCATGGAAGTTCTATCTGAAGAACTGGCTTTGCACAGCCCATATATATGCACCCAAATCACTCCTGCAGGATGCAATTTTTAAACATATGGGTAAACAATTCCAAATATATGCCATGCATGTATATTTCAAAATATCACTTCTTTAGGGAAAGATGTCCAGATAAAAGCCCTGTCTTCCTCTTATCCTAGTCATAGGAGCTGCTATACTAAAACTTCCTAGATAAATTAGGGCTATCTATCCAGGCTGCAAACTTCCAGAGAATTCAATAAAGAACTGTGAACAGAAACTCTTTGTTCCCATCTAGTGATTATCCTTTTTTTTGCAGCCCAGATATGGCAGTTCTAGATAAATTAGGGACTTTAATCAGGGACTTCGCATAAAAGCATAGTTAATTGTCTTACAATATTTCATTTCCAACCACTGTATGTTATATAGCTATATACTTTCCATATATTGTATGTCACATAGTAGAACTCAAATGAACACCCCACCTTTCTTCTTCAACATCTCTCACCCCAAACCCATCCTGTTTTATTCAAATGGGCAAAAGTCCACCACTCATCTATCTCTGACTCAGAAGTCTGAGTACATTCTCATCTTCTTAATAGGGCAAAATCCTTCAGATAACATTTCACTTATCTTAAAGAGACATCAGAATTAGCCAGCCTTTCTTATTGCCTAGTAAGAGTCAAAATCCACTATTTCTGATAAATCATTTCCTTTATCCTCCTGGAAAGTACTATTAAATTTTTCTTCCACAAGTCTCCTTTTAATAGGGGCAAAATTCTTCCATAGACTTGTATGTCAACAGCACTTTTTGTTTGCAAGAAAAGAGATACACCACCTGAATAACCAAAAATTATGCTCCCCTTACAATGCCATATCACAATCTTCAGATTTACGCGGTATTTTCTAAAATTCATATCTATTCGTCAAAGAACAAAGAACTACTGTAACTGCTACCGAGTTTTCCTTAGAACCTCCATCAACTTTTTGCTCTGGGGACAACATTCTCCACATTTTCTTTGCTATAGTGATCTAAGATTCCAGGACGGACTTGTCGTCAATTAACAATTCTATTTCCACAATCTCACCCGAATGTCCCCATTCACTTGTTTCTTCCAAGTTAACACAACCACCCAAATAAAAAACAGAAGGCAGACTCGGGGCAAGCCCAGCGACCGAGCAAGCCCGGCACAAAGTCACTATTCTTGCCCTCACCCTTTCCGAAACAAGGTGCAGACAAATACGTCCCAAGCCCAACTGAGAGCAGGAAGAGGAAAAGGCAGAGGTGGAGTTTTTTCGTTTTTGTTTTACCTGCACACGTCTGCGAGCCTTGCCTTATACGCTCTTCCTTTTGAGCTTCTTACAGCAACGGACGGTTATTGCCGCCGCAAACCGGAATCAGGAAGCAGCTGCTGAGCAAAGCCGAAAGAAATTCACTTCTGCCGCTTCCTCTCTCTGGCCAACTCTTCTTAATTTATCTTTTCTGCTCTTCGCTCTCCTCTGCCACCCTGCCTCTTGGAGGACTGACTCATTAAAGATCCTGGGCAAAATTCTTACTAAGAGAGAAAGAAAAAACTCCAAGACAGCCTTGTGGTTTCATGGAAATAAGTATAGTCCATAATGGGATGATTGGTCAGAATGTCATAATTTGGGAGCCCAGACCTCTTCATCAAACGAAGTGATGCTGGAAAGTTTGCAAGCCGCTTAGTGACAGTGACATATTGATATTAGAAGATGTGCAATATTTTGGTATCCTTTTAAACCATAAGGTTTTCATTCTTTCATCACTCAATGTTTTCATTTATCCTGTTTACCAGTAATTTTCTAAAGTACAGTGATAAAACCAAACTCATTCAATAAATTTAACAATCAGACGATCATCTTCAAGGTCATGCAGAAGAATTTGTTGAACGCATCAGTTAAAATTGCCGATTCATTCCTGCTTAGAACCCTTGACTGGTCTATGAGATGCCCCATAATTTGGGAACAGTTTGTCCCTGTTAGACCTAAGGAAGAGAACAGGTTCTCTATTCTCTCAATGTAACTACCAGTCAATTAGACCTTTGCCAATGAAAGCCTCCAGGAGGGTCACCACCGGGTGGGTTCATGTATTCTTCATTGCAAAAGGATACATTCCTGGGACCTTTTAAGAAGGTCCCAGTTTGTCCTCTCTTTTAAAAAGTCACTTCCTCCTGGAAAACTTTCATGTAATCTCCCATCTTCCCTTTTTGGGGAAGAAGGTGGTAGAAAAGGTAGCTGCTGATAAGCTTCAGGAAGTCCTGGATGAAACAGATTTTCTGAACCCTTTTCAGTCAGGATTCAGACCCGGCTATAGACAGCCCTGGATGTTCTAAAGAGATACACTCTCTGGTGGGAGTGGAATGATAGTGCAACCATTTCTGGTCTCCTTGACCTCTCAGCAGTGTTTGATATTATCGATCCTGGTATCCTCTTAGGCTAGCTATACAAGCTGAGGCTGGGAAGCTCTGTTTTGCGCCAGTTCAGCTCCTTCCAAGGTCAGAATCAATAAGTGTTAATGGTATCCAGCCCCCAACTGCTCACTTGTATTATCCCACAGGACACCATACTGCCCCTTTTTAATATCTACATGAAGCTATTAGGTGAGTTCATCTGTCACAATTGGTTGAGATATCATACTCAGTTCTACATCTCTACACATAGTGACCCAAGTGATGATGCCTGGGGGATGTAAAGAACTGGATAGAGAAGAATGGATTGGCTGAACTCTGGGTGGCTTTGGCTGCATGGAGTTACAGGATCCACGTTTTTTGTCATCCTTAGTTCTGGACATAATTACACTACTTCATTCAGACCCAATTTGCAAGTGTAGGAAGTTAGCCCACACCTCTCACCTAGAAAATGAAATATTGTAGGAAATTTTAAAGGGCAGAATATTTCCCTCTAAAAGGGAGGAAGAAACTCATTCCCCCACCTCTTTGTCAGTGAGCCATTAAGGCCTGGGTCAGTCTATTCTACATAACAAAGATCTCTCACTTTCAGCTCCAGGGTGATGGCATTAAGGCATGATAGTATTAACTCTTTATCCATCTCACTACATGGCACCCAGCAAGTCAAGTAAGTCTGGGAGACAGTCTACAGAGTTGCCCCTGCATGGCCCCGTGGGAGTCTGACAACCAATCAGAATACAAGCTCAAGTTCAAAGCCCAAAGAGGGAATAAAACCAGGGACTTTCAGCATCGCTGCCCTTTTTTTCTTCACCCAACATCTTGAAGCATGTGATTTCCCCTTTTCTGTTCAGGAGCTCAAGCCATGTGATCCTGTCCATCATTAAGCCATTTTTCCAAGCAGCCTCCATGTTTCCAGTGTCTTTCCCCTCACTTGGAACTGAACCCAGAAAGACATTTAATCCAACACAATTTTGGAGTTCTCTTGGACTCGTATCTCCTGCTTGAAGAGCAGGTGGCAGGTGTGACTAGGAGAGCTTTTGCACAACTCTCATTTCTGTACCAGCTGAGAACTTTCCTTGATCATGACTCCCTGCACGCATTACTCAAGCCTTAGTTATCTCTCATCTGGATTACTGCAACAGTGCTACATGGAACTACCCTTGAAATCTATTTGGAAGCTTCAGTTGGGAAAGTGTGGCAGTGAGAGCAGTCTTTGTGGCCTCTAAGAAGGGTAGGTAGAGAGCAGAGGGCAAAGGGACAAACTGTATTGTCCCTGCTAAGACAAGCCCATCCTACTTGTGCTGGCAGAGAGAGCCTATTGCAGACCTTGTTGGTCAAAGAACTCCAACTATTGGGATCCAGAAGAGCCTTCTTTGTGGCTTTGGCTGTCCTTTGGAGCATTGTACCCTCCAGTGGTGGATTCTGGATCCAGTTGCAATTGGTACGCTGCGACAGAGCCAGGCGTCCACCGCGTGCACTGTGCACGCATGAGCACCCAATGCCCGTGAACTCCAGCTGCTCGGTGGAGCATCGTGCAGGTGCCGTACGTTGCCTGTTCATGCACAAATGGCCCAATTGGGTCAAATACAGCTCAGGAACACGGGCGGGTGGGTGGGCTGCTCTTGGCAGGCACTGGTACTCCCTTACCGTGGTGTACTGCCCGCAACCCACCACTGCTACCCTCAAAGGCAAGATCTGTTCCCACCTTTCTACCCTTCTGCAGGAGTCCAAAGAGTTGGCTCTGCCAGTTGGCCAGGAGATCAAATGAGGGAGTTCCATATTGGAAGTGGCTGCTGGATTTATTGCACATGCCACCTCCCCGCTTGTCTCTGTTCTCCATCCACCCATCTTTTTGTTGTTGTTTCTCTATCAGGGTGCAGAGAGAAAATATCTGCTGCAAACTCTGGGTAGGGTCAGGAAGGGCTTCTGGCCAGCAAACACTGAGCTCTTCTCAGTTACCAACTCCTCTCCTAAACAAGGGATTAGAGTGTTTTTTTAAAAGCAATAGCAATAGCACTTTACAGCTTTACATAGTGCTTTACAGCCCTCTCTAAGCAGTTTAGAGCCTATTGCCCCCAACAGTCTTCATTTTACCCAGCTCGGAAGGATGGAAGGCTGAATCAACCTTGAGTCAGTGAGATATGAACTGCTGAATTGCAGCTAACAATCAGCTGAAGTAGCTTGCACGATCTCGGCTCTAAAAAGATGTATTCCCATTATTCTTTTTCATTGTTTATTTTATTATTCTGCTATTTTACTTTTGTTTTCTTTACACTCTTTTCAATTTTTCCTTTTTATTGTTGAAAGCTATGTAGAGTAGCTCCTTAGCAAATTAGGCAGCAAATAACTTTAACAATATATAAAAATAAGCCAGATTTTCACAACTGAGATAAAAGAGGGGTTTTTAATGTCATTATTTTATATAATTAATTATTTATAAATAAAATAAATTTATTGTTATTGAAAAAAAGGAAAAAATGGAACCAAATTTTCCATTGAGGGAGAAACCATCAAAATGAAGATCAAGTTCAAAAAACACTGAATCTAGATACAGATTACAGAAGAAAAAAAATCCCTGCAATTGCTTCAATCTAAGTCAAAAATGTTGGTTTAGAAGGTGGAGGATCCAATATGAGTCACTCTTTCAGTTCTCTTTTGGTCATGTAACCCACAGCAGAGTTATTTTAAGGAGGAAAATATTCCAAATGTCATGATTCCTTTCCCTCATCTTATTATGCAATCGGAAGATAATTTTTTTAAAAAAATTGACCGCTTTTACCTGCCGAAGTGGTTGCATCAGATTTGTGGATATTTACTTATTTGCTAAACTTATTTGCCATCTATCTCATCATGTAGCTATTCTAGGCTGCTTTACAAAAATGAAGAAGAGAGTAAACAGAAGTAAAATAATAAACAATGACCAAGGAACATAATAATAAGACAATAATGTGATAACGATGGTCTTAATATGCCTGATCACCATATGATCCTTGACATCGAGCAAGACATCCTGGAGTGCAAATTCAAGTGGAGCTTAGGAAGCATTACCAACAACAAAGCTAGCGGAGGTGACGATATTTCAGCTCAGCTATTTAAAATCTTAACAGATGATGCTCTTAAAGTGCTACACTCAATATGCAGCAAATTTAGAAAGCTCAAGAATGGCCACAGGGTTAGAAAAGGCCATTTAAATTATAATCCCAAAGGACAAAAATGTTCAAATTATCAAAGTTACATGCTAACAAGATCAAAATCCTACAGGATAAACTTTAGTAATATGTGAACCAAAAACTATTAGAAGTACTATCTGGATTTCAGAGGGAGATGAATTAGAGATCAAATTGCCAACATTCACTGGCTTATGGAGAAGGTAAGGGAGTTCCAGAAAAACATCTACTCCTGCCTTCATGGACTATGCTAAAGCATTTGATTGTGTAGATCACAACAAATTGTGGTAGAGATGAGAGTAGCAGACCACCTTACCTATCTCCTGAGAAATGTGTATGTGGATAAAGAAGCAAGTTAGAATCAGACATGGAATAATTGACTGGTTCAAAATAGGGATAGTATCACAAGGCTATATTGCCTATTTAATTTATATGCAGAGTATATCAAGCAAAATGTTGGGCTGGATCAGAGGTGGGTTCCTATTGGTTCGGCCGAACCGGTATTGGTATGCTGACCTGGGTCACAGAACCAACAGCGATCCAGGCTGGTTCATGCCTTCAAACCAGTTCCCTAGTTGCTGCCGTCACTGCCATCTTTTTTTTAAAGTTCTGTGCATGCATAGAACAATTTCCATTGAACTATGCATGTGCACACATCCAGTGCGTGCACGTGTGAAGTGCATGTATGAGCAAACCAGCAGTAAAGAAGTAGAGATGTCAAATTGCTGACAAAGGCCTGTATAGTCGAAGCTACGGTTTTCCCAGAAGTAATGTATGGCTGTGAGAGTTGGTTCAAAA